AAAAGCTAGAAAGCTGAAATTTTTAAGGAATGTTCCCTGCCCACATAGGCATGAGCTCAAGCCCAATCCCCCCGACATGCGTGGATAACACGTACGGGACCGTGAGTTTTTTGCGGATATGTTGCCAACTTGGGGACCTGAAAAGCTAGAAGACTGAAATTTTAAGAGGATGTTCCCCTCAGCTTAGGTCTTAATGAATTCCAACACACCCCTCCGGTATATGCGGTTCCCACGTACGAGCCCGTGCAAGCTTCTTGCTGGCAATTTGCTAACAACTCGGGGATCTGAGAAGCTAGAAAACTGGAGTTAAAAGGGTATATTCCAGGCCTACGTGGGACAACTCGGGGATATGAGAAGCTAGAAAACTGGAGTTTAAAGGGTATATTCCAGGCCTACGTGGAACTAAGTGACTGCAAGCTCTGCTTCCAGTTGCGCGTGGCCCTTAGACACGAGCCAGTGGAAATTTCTGGCAAATAAGTTGCTAACTCGGGAACCAGTAAAGCGAGAAAGCTGAAATTTTAAGTGGATGATTCTTGACAGTTCTGGCGGTCAGTCTCAATTCGTTTAGCTAGAAGCATCTACCGGAAAACCGGTGCCGTTAGCGACAAATTGCGGGAAACTATGCAAAAGTCGCATCTTTCACATCGGCAGTCGCTGCGCTGGCCAATTATTAAAACTGTGGCAAACTCTAGTCCTTTGTTGCGGAAGCGAGTTCTCAAAAGATAAAGAATTGCACAAAAAGCACTTTTCAGTTTTATTGCCGATCCTCACGAGCGCTACAACGAATGAAAGAATTAGTAAACGGAAAAACGAACAGGTACATAGATGCGCGAAATGGACATGATGAGCAGATACATACATACCCGGATGGTAATAATTTTGATGAGCAAACGGCTAAGCTTTCTTACAAACAAACAATCTGTTGGTCGGATAATTTTCAAAAACAAATATGACTGCTTCTAAAAGAAGAAATCACAGCATTTGAACAATGAATAGAACAGCACTCCATTCTTCGTTTCAGGCACACTGTGCAAGCAGACGAAGTGACATGCAGCACGCAAGCTGACCGATCAGATCCAGCACATTTACACGCTTAAAAACGACTGTAGCAAAACGACAGGTAAAACGAAAATAAATACTAATTGGATGATACCTTACAACGTAAGGATGTACCCCTCCACAGTCTAAGTGTTGTTGAGGCGCAGGAGACGTCGATAGCTTCTCGCGGGAACTGATTAGCAGAAACTGGGCATTCATCGGATGCCAGT